TCCACCGCCAACTCATCGAGAACTTTGTCTGGGTGATAGGGGAGGCAAGGGATTCCCCGGATCCATACCAGAGGGCATGCTGGTACATGTACCAGAACCAATTCCCCGGATCTATACCACAGGGCACGCTGGTACAATTACTCACTCCATGTATGTTAGTTACTTAATCTAGTCCATCGATAGCCATGTATTTATAAAGAACTACAGTGGTATCCAAGGAATGCTAGGAAGAGAAGGTTCTAGCATTGATGGCGGCGATGATGCTGGTATGGAGGATGGCGACCCCAAATAGCTATCAACCCATTCTTGTGTGATGCGAAGCGGTCTCCCATTGACGAGCTAGTCGTATTGAGCAGATAACCTGGCAAGAAAAGAAATGGATTATCAAAGATGTAGAAGCACAGACTGGCCAGGGATTTTGATTAGTACAGAGGAACTGAGCTTACAATTATAGTTTACCCATCCCATGCGCATCTTCTCCAAGTCAAACACAGATACCTTATCATGCAGAACAAGATCTGCACCAAATATTGGGAATATATTTAGCCATACAATGTTTGCATGAGCAAATTAACCAGTGTTCATATCGACACAACATGGGGAGTTAAAGAAAAGCGTGGATTTCAAAGCCATGACTACTCTACCAAGATAACATGTTGCTTTCAGATTATGTTACCGGAAAAGGCTTTCACCCCGAGAGCGATGATTTGGTGCCGGGCTCAGATGAAACTGGGCATGAATAGTACCATGATTTGAAAGGGAGAAAAAGTTCAAAAGATTTCAAATTCTTTTGTGGTGCAAGATGCTAATGTGCGTGAACTCCGTGCAAAATTTTGTGAAGTTTGGACATTCGAGGAGCTCATGGAAAAAAAGATAAATTTTGGATGTCTGGGAAACTTCTGAAAATCGCGCTATTCACGTCTGATTTTGTCTATTTTACCACCTAGCGACGACTACAATCACTGAAGCGAGCCAAAGACGCGCCGCTGTCATCACCCCTCTCTCGCCGGAGTCGGGCACAACTTATTGTAGTAGTCAGTCGGGAAGTCGTCGTGCTAAGGCCCGGTAGGACCAGCGCACCAGAACAGCAACCGTCGCTGATGGAGAATAACGTAGATCGAAAGGATCCAACCTGAAGACACACGAACATAGACGGACCACAACCAGATCCGAGCAAATCAACCGAGGATAGATCCGCCGGAGACACACCTCCACACACCCACCAACGATGCTAGATGCACCACCGGAACGGGGACTAGGCGGGGAGACCTTTATTCCATCTTCAGGGAGCCGCCGTCGTCTCGTCTTCCTGAGTAGGACACAAACCCTAACAAATCTTGAAGAAATGACTAACAACGGAGCCCTCCCGCCGGCCCTTGACAGGATCCACCGCGCCCCCATGGACCTAGGGCCACCAGAGACGAGGCGAACCTGCGGCGGAGTCGACGAGAGGCACGAACCCTAGCTTTTCTTGGAGGAGGAGGCGGCGGCTGGAAAGAGGTATGCTATGGCAAGCCGATTGGAGTATTAGGTTATTTAACTATGCATTAAAAAAAAGGGCAACCTGGTGCATGTAGCTCCCGCTTGCGCAGGGTCCAGGGAAGTGTTCGACCACTTTGGGTCTATAGTACGCAGCCTTTCCCTACATTTCTGTAAGAGGCTGTTTCCAGGACTTGAACCCATGACCTCATGGTCACAAGGCAGCAGCTTTAGCACTGCGCCAAGATTTAACTATGCATTAGACATTTAAATTAAAAATAAAAAAATAAAAATTTTATGCCTGGTATACATTTTTCTCATGAGGTAATTTAACCTCGGTAACCGCAGGATAACCGAAAAATTCAAGCGGTAACCAAAACATTGGTCCTCACTCAATGACGGTGGGGCCTGCATCTGTTGAAGCTTCTATCTTGGTCGTATCCTGGTCCTTGGTTGACCCGTGTTGCAAATGGATCTTTGCAACATGCTTGGTATTTTTTTTCGAGAAAACTTCCGACTTATTCATCTTCAGTTATGAGTTTATGACAACGAACAATAGAAGTAATAAACATTAGATCCAAATCCGTATACCACCAGTGACGACTACAAGTACTCCATGGTTCCGAGTATCTCTATTTATTAATCCACATTATTAGGTCATGTGCGTTGGCCTTCAACGACCCTTGCGGAAAGTGGAGGGCAAGTGAGGCATTGGCAGAAGGCACCGAAGCACTGCCCGAACTCGTAGCCTTCGGATCCGCACTTTTCTACACAAGCCTCGGGGGTGATGCAGTATGGATCCTTGGGCAGGTGCGGCTGGCAATTCAAGGTCATCGCATCTACACCTGGAGGACATATATTGATTCAACAAAAGATAGTCAGCGTGATCACCCCTAAAGAATATCTGTCACTCCCTTCGATCCATATAAACTGACGTTGGTTTAGGTCAAATATCCGATCCATATGAATTGACGCCGGTTTAGTACAAAGTTGTATCAGATCAGAGGGAGTATAAGGTAGTAATAAACTACATAATGGAATTATACAAACAGAAGATAATTTATCTTGCGGACATGTATATGTAACTCCACATATATGCATGATTACCTGAAGACGCAAGGAGGAGTGCCAGTATCCACACGGACATGACGATGGCGGTGACCCTGCAAGCCATCATGATCGGCCGGGGAACAAAGCACTGGCTTGGACTAGCTAGGTGTGCAAGGAAGCGGTCATGCTTAGGAACCACAGCGGTACGGTACGCGTATGGAAACTGGCAATGCAAATTTGGCAACAATTTAATATATACTACCAATATTAAGCAGGATAACAATAAGCCTTCCTTTTTTTTGCCCGGTGGTTGATTAATGCTGATTGACGACAGAATGCATGTGAGCCCAATTGATAGGAACCTATGCTGGTAGCAAAGCCGTTGGATTGGAAGTTCGTATGGTCGCTGGATGAGCAGGGTTGCACCTTTCTCGGTAGTTTCCAAAACTAAAACCCGATAAAAGCTGATTACGTGGGATTTGCTAGGGACGAGACTTGCCTGCTCCCTCCACATGCGCCCATCCGTGCTCCCGCATACGTGGCATGATTTGATTGAAATAAAAGAAGGCCCGGCCCCACCCCCTTAAAATCAGGGGGGGGGGAGATGATTAGATTAGAAAGGAAAATGGAAAAAAGACAGCCGTAGGATGAAGTGGGAGCACGGATGGGAGCATGCGAGGGAGCAGGCAAGCCGGATCCATTTGCTAGGGCGTGTTTGGTTGCCTGGGTTGCATCTATTTCTCATCCAACACAGAACTTAAAACACCTCTGGACCTGCATTAGAGGGAACGATCGAATCGGCCAGTTTTTGCGAGGCAGGCTTTTGCGAGCTTGGCCCGCGCCTTGCATGCACGCGTTGGGAAGCGCGGGAGACGGACGGGACAACCCATAATTCCCCTCGCTATCTCTAGTCGCCTCCCACGTCCATTCACACCACGATATCTCATTCTCCCTCACAGTCCCTTCAGTCTCTCGGATGGCACGCCCGTAGCCGTGCCGTGCCCTGGGCACCTCCATCCTTACCGGCAGCAACCCAATACAAGACCTTTGGGTGGCCAGCCTCTCCCATAGCGGCATTGACCTCATGGCGGCCATCCGAGGACTGTCCCTCTTCTGTACCAGACCCAAGCCCATCCGCAACGGTTTGAGATTCAAGCTCTCTTATGCCCAAGGCCACACGTCCCCCAATTTAATTATAAGAATAACAAAAAGGCCATGCTTGGGGATCCCCATTCTACATCAACAGTCATTGTATGATCCATTTTTATCCCTCTTTTGTAGTTTTGCTTCCTTTGCATAATCTTGAGCATCATTTATATATTTACTTTTAATTAAATGAGATCATCACCCTGGTCATTTAATTCTTTATGGAGGGTTTGTATTTGGCTTGGCTATTTTGCTCATTGTGCTTCACCTTCATCTGTTTGAGCACTAGGATTGGTGATATGCGGTTACAACGTTTTTTTAGGGAATAACTTTTTGTGCTTCATTTATATTCTGATAGAAAGTTATAGGACTTGACTGACATATGTTTAATGATATATGAGTTTATTATCTTGGGATTAGTATTGAACATTTCATATTGAATGATTAGAATGGTAACTATGCTAATGGAAACACTGGAGGAGAATTCAATAGTGGTGAATTTTTGGATTTGTTTTGAGATATTCTTATTATTCAGAATTTTATGCAAAGTAGCTACTTCTATTTCGAGATAGGATGATAATTCAATGCTAAATGAACATTTGTCTTTCTTCACCTAATAACAAAAATTGGGACTCACTTGAGAAGCTAAAAATGCGTAATCTTATTAGCATGCAACCATTATAGACTAACATCATTGATGCGGCCAGATACGAACAATGGTCTTTGACCTACCAATCAAACTACACATGATACTTGACATTCTGCACAAGTGGTAAAATAGCAATTAATTATTTGTAGTGGGGTTTGTCTGTATAAGGTATCATTGCCCCTAGTTCGAAGGGTGTGGTTTCTCTGGCATAGGACACGGTGGTTCATCGATCTTTTACATTTCCACCTTCACACCGCTTTTCGACCTTTCTTTCAAACCCATAAGCGCTAGAGGGATATTAAGGGGTACTATAGAGATGACACTAGTGTGAGTATCTTTGTTGATTTGGCGTCGGGTGACAACCCTCGACATATAAATGACCTTGTCGCCAAATCAAATCAGATTAGGGCTACCATAGGCCTCAATACATGTAATACAAATGTTTTAACTTAAATGCAAAAGCGACATCCACGGCTCACATGCATACTGCCAAATTTAGCGAGCTCGACCTGTGCTACTTCATTTTGATGAGTACCTCTTACATCAAGTGGTCTCAACCTCTTGGTGATTCATCCTAAGGCTGTTCCCTGCCTCTCCGGAGTGACTTGGACTGCTCCGCACACATTGAACTCTGTTACTAGTTCTGCCAACAGCGACCCCAGTAGCTATCGAGACGTCATAGTGTGATGATGTTACTATGGATGATGGCAACCACAATGGCTACCAGTCCGCTGCAGTATGATGGTGTGTGGCGCATCGAAGATCCGCTGGAAACAACCACACTGGTCTTACTGAGTAGTGAGCCTAATGAGGAATCCCAAAGAAAATAGGTTATCAAAATGTGAAGCATAGAGTACGAGAATTGGTTGGTAGTGAAATCTGATCTTACAGTTATAGTTCACCCAACCAATGCGCGTCTTCTCCAAGTCATACACAAATACCTTATCATGTAAAATAAGATCTGCCACAAGAGAACCGATAAGTTAGTAAGATAAGTATTAGGCTTTGAGTTCTCATGATAAGACAATTTACTTTAATTAATTGCTGGTTCTTCATTCTATGTAAGGGAAATTCATTTAGTAGTATATGCAAACAATTGTTGCATCAGCAAATTACTCGGTGTTCATGTAGGTACAATAGAATATCAAGGGTTAAAGAAAAAAAGGGGGTCAAAAGCCATGATCACTCTCCAAGAAAACGGTTGGCTTGCAGACTATGTCTATCATTGCTTCTCAAATTATTAGGATTTTCTCAATACAATTTACTTTAATTAGTTGCTGGTTCTTCATTCCACGCGAAGCGTAGTACGTACAAAATTTATTTACTAGTCAGGCAAAGTGACTATGTTTACTCTAGTAGTTCAATTCATTTCAGGCAACCATGACAGAATGTCAGCCTTAGGTCTTATAGCAAGATGTGCAGCTTATGCTTGCTAATTCAGTCGACGAGTAGATGACTTGCTAACCTCCGAGAACAGTGGTGTGCTCGTAACCCTCGATCTCCTTGCTTCTTAGAAAGCCAATGCACAATATGACTTCGTTCTGCTGCAAATCATGATATGAATGATATTACTTGCATTAAAGATAAGTTATCCCAAAACAATTAACCAGGTGCACAATCATGAAAGGAATTAGTTAGGGTAGCATCAGAAGGGTTACATGACGTGCAGATCCACCCTTGAGCAAGAGATAGCTCTCTGGTCCCACTGTCATTGGAGCACCACCCTCAAAATATAGTGTCACATTTGGAAATGATGAAACATTCCTGGTGAAAGTAACAAGACATTTTGTCAAGATTCAACCTTTTGTAGTGCACGCATTACTTAGTTTCTTTGCGAGAAAAATACCTTTTAGAACAAATAAAACATCTGCTCCCGCTCATGACATAATTGCGTATGGAATATGGGACGGCAGAAACTATCTGCAAATACTCAATGCAAATCATTATAGCTAACAGTGATACAATAAAACTACTGAAATAATTTAGACCAACCAATTATTGGTTATTAAAAGAAAGTGTTGTATTGAGAACACACTGCCTTAATAACCGGATCGTAGACCCCATCTGGAAAGTATGCTAATGCTGCTCCAGAATCCACAAACGTTCCTTGTGTTTTTGATGTTGTAAACAAGGAAGAATTTATTGGGACTTTTTGACCATTGACAGCAATGCTCTTCATATTTAAGTTGTAACGAGGCCTGTTGTTTACCGAAAAAAGTGGTTCATATAAACGATTCAGGAAGTTTTATTGGGAATGGTAATCCACATTCCACAATGCAAATAAAAGAGTTGCATTGGTTGAGTCTAACCACATAGATCAACAAGAGTTCTTAGGGAAAAAAGGAAGAAAGAGAAAAAAGCGTAGATGTGCACTTCATGCTTGCAAAATTGATTGCTCTACAAATAAATTCAAAGTTTTTTTTTTGCCATGAAACAAATTCCAACTTAACATTGGCAAATTATAGAATGTACAAATAAATTTAACTAATAAGTGTGCTCTGGCAAATTATAACGAAAAAGGGTTTCCCCCCGCTTTATATTATAAAGCACGAACCACAACAAAAAAGCATCTGATACAAACGCACACCGCACACCCAAGGCAAGATACATGAATGCCAGGCACCGGTACACAACCACAACGACTACAAAGCACCTAAAAGATGAGCAAACCGAAACCGCTAAGAGCCGACGGAGAACACCACCACGAGGAGCGATCGTCTGGAGGATGTGTAGCGGACATGCCGGGCCGAGGACTCCAAGACGGTGCCTCCAGGAAGGGTACGACCATGAACGTCGCCACCGTCCGATCCGAGGATCGAGTTTTCACCCGGAGTAAGATGGAAGGGGAAGAAGCACCACGATGGAGCCTGCAAGGAGGACACGACGTCCACGGACGCCGTCACCGTCGACCAGACACAGACAGGATAGGTGATGAACCCCGATGCTTCAACACTTCCGCCGCCCCAGTCCGACAACACCCGCAGCCACGCCGCCCAAGCGGCCATGGTTGCCTGCCCGCATCCGAGCCGCGCAGCGCGCCCACGACCAACGCACGACTCCCGCCGCCAGGGCCGCCGCCCCGCCATGAGACCACCCCGCAGCCACCAAAGGTCACGACTTTGCCCGGATCCATGACCCCAACCACCTCCAGAGCCGCCGCCGGCCAAGCTGCCTCGAGGAGGGCCGCGACCACATCGACCGAGGGAAGGGGAAGGCAGAGAAGTGTCCCATGGCCACGACCGACACCCATGCCGGCTCCGACTTCCCCCCGGAACCGAGTTCCGCCCCCGTTCTGAAGGGCAAGAGCCGCAGGAGGCATCCGCCGCCGCCAGAAGCCGGAGAGGGAGGGTTGCGGAGCCGTCTTCGCCGCCACCGGGGATCCACCCGAGCCGAGCGCCGCCACCCAGCCGC